AAAAGAAAATGTGGTATTTATACACCACGGACTACTATGCAGTCAGAATGAAATCATGTACTTTGCAGCAACATGGATGAAACTGGAGATCATCATTCTAAGTGAACTGACTCCAAAACAGAAAACCAAACACTGCTATTCTTACTCTTATGTGAGACTTAAATGATCACAAAATAAAAATAATAAACACTAGGGACATCAAAGGGGAGAAGTGAGAAAAAGGGTTAGGGAGCAGAAATTACCCATGGGGTACAATGTTCACTATCTGAGGAACAGGTGACCTGAGACCCAATCCCCACCCATACAAAATATGTCCATGTAATGAACATGCATGTGTACCCCCTGAATTTAAAATTTTAAAAAAACTGTAGCTAGGCATGGTGGCTCACACCTATAATCCCAGCACTTTGGGAGGTGGAGGCAAGAGGATTGCCTGAGCCCAGGTGTTCGAGACCAGCCTGGGCAAACTCTACAATAAACTCAAAAAAAAAGTTGTAAAGAAAAGAAAAGAGGCCAGGCTTGGTAGCTCAGCCTGTAATTCCAGCACTTTAGTAGGCCAGGGTCAGTGGGTTGCCTGAGCCCATGGGTTTGAGACCGGCCTGGGCAACTTGGTGAAATCCCCTCGTCTCTACAATAAATAAAAAATTAGCCAGGTGTGGTAACACATGCTTGTAGTTCTAGTTACTTGGAAGGCTAAAGCGGAAGGATCACCAGAGCCCAGCAGGTGGATGCTGGGGTGGCCATGAGGGTGCATGACACTGCACTACAGCCCGGGCAATGAAGTGAGATGCCAACTCAAAAAAAAAAAAGCAAGAAATAAAAAAGGAAAGAAGATTCAAATTAGCATGATTTGAAGTGAAAATAGAGACGTTACAACGAGACAGGAGATAGCTAGAGAAAGCCTAGGCAGACATACTGGCCAGTCCTCTGGTAAAAATGTAATGAACTCCTGGCAGTCCTCTCAGGCTCAGCATCCATAAACAAGCTCCCTGCAAGCCTCTCAAGCTAGAGCTAAAGTCCTCACTGCTGAGATTGAAAAGCAATCAATCAGCTCACCATTAGGCCCCTACCTCCTGCCAATTGGTCCTTAATACTGACCAATCAAAACAGCAGCATCTCACATGTAGTATGAACCAATCAGCTTGGACTTAGGGCTATATAAGCACCAGATTTCTGCTCCAGACTGGCAACCCCTTCAGGTCCCCTTCCACTGCAGGACCTTCTCTGTCCTCTCAATAAATCCTGCTTACTCACTTTCCACCAGTCTGTGTCCCTCATTCTTCCTGGGCATGAGTCAAGAACCTCGACCCTGAAGAGCTGCAACCTGAAGAGCTGAAACCTGAAGAACTACAGAAGATCAGCGGAGCTGAAAAGTTATGCACCCCAGAGGAGAACTGCCAGAAGAAGGCGAGACTCTGGAACTGAGACACACAGGGGGCTAGGCTTGCCAGCTCCCACAGCCCTGAATTGCAACACTCAGGGATTGACTTGCCAGCCCATTACAGCTGACACTTCCGGGGCTAGGCTTACCAACCCCTCCATGACCCTCTCTGGGGCTTGGCTGGCCAACCCATTGAGCTGACACTCTCAAAGCCCAGGCTGACCTGAAAAATCTGCATCAACAATGGACATGATGGAAATTCAAAAGATCATCTGAGACTATTAGGGACACCTCTATGCAAACAAACTAGACAAATCTAAAGGAAATTGATAAATTCTTGGAAACATACAACCTCCAACCTTGAATCAGGAAGAGATGGAAACCCTGAGCAGACCAATGATAAGTAGTAACACTGAATCTAATTAGAAGTCTCCCAACAAAAAAAGTTCAGGACAATGGACTCTCAACTGAATACTACCAGACCTTCAAAGAGGAACTGGTGCCAATTTTACTGAAACTATTCCACAGGACTGAAGAGGAGGGAGTCCTCCCAAACTCAGTCTACAGGACCAGTATCACTCTGATATCAAAGCCAGGAAAAGATCCAACAACAAAAAAGAAAACGACAGACCAATATCCCTAATGAACGTAGAGGCAAAAATCTTCAACAAAATATTAGCAAATCAAATTCAACAGCACATTTAAAAAATACACCATGACCAAGTGGGTTTTATCCCAGGGATGAAAGTATGGTGCAACACATGCAAGTCAATAAACATGATCTGCTATCTAAACAGAATTAAAAACAAAAATCACATAATCATTTCGACAGATGCAGAAAAAGCATTTGATAAAATCCAATAACATTTCAAGATAAAAACCCTCAACAAAATAGGCACAGAGGGAACATCTCTAGAAATAATAAAAGTCATGTACAACAAACTCATGGCCAATGTCATCCTAAACAGAGAAAAGTTGAATGCACTCCTCCTCAGAACTGGAACAAGGCAAAGATCCCACTTTCACCACAACTATTCAACATAGTACTGGAAGTCCTAATCAGAGCAATCAGGCAAGAAAAAGAAATAAAGATATCCAAATTGGAAAAGAAGAAATCAAACTATCTCTGTATGCCAATGATATAATCTTATATCTAGAGAATTCTAAAGACTACTCCAAAAGATTCTTGGACTTAATAAACGAATTTGGTAAAGTTTCAGGATGCAAAATCAACACACACAAATCGGTAACACTGATATACACCAATAGTGACCAAGCTGAGAATCAAATCAAGAACTCAATCCCATTTACAAAAGAAGTATAAAGCTAAAATACCTACAAATATTTTTAACCAAGGAGGTGAAAGATATTTACAAGGAGAACCACAAAACTCTGATGAAAGAAATTGTAGGGGACACAAACAAATGGAGAAATATCTCATACTCACGGACTGGAAGAATCAATGTTGTTAAAATAACTGTCACCCAAAGTCAGCTACAGATTTAGTGCAATATCTATCAAACTGCTAACATCATTTTTCACAGAATTAGAAAAAAAATCCTAAAATTCATATGGAACCAAAGAGCCAGAATAGTCAAAACAACCCTCAGCAAAAAGAACAAACTGGAGGCATCACATTATCTGACTTCAAATTATACTACGAGGTTATAGTACCCAAAACAGCATGGTAATGGTACAAGGGCAGGCATAGGGACTAATGGAACAGAGTAGAGAATTCAGTAATAAATCTAAATACCTACAACAAACTATTGACAAAATAGACAAAAACATACACTGGGGAAAGGACACCCTGCTCAACAAATGGTGCTGGAAAAATTAGACAGCAACATGAAGAAAAATGAATCTTGATCTCTATCTCTCCTTATTTTTATAGGTTAAAAAAAAAACAAGAGTGGTCAAAGACTTGAATGCCAGACATGAAACCACACAAATTCATTAAAAATTTGGGAAAATTCTTCTGGACATTGGCCTTGACAAAAAAATTATGACTAAAACTCCAAAAGCAAATGCAACAAACACAAAAATAAACACATGGACCTTAATCAAACTATAAAGTTTCTGTACTGTAAAAGAAATAATCAACAGAGCAAATAGGCAACCTACAGAATGGAAAAAGATATTCACAAGTTATACATCTGACAAAGGATCGATATCCAGAATCTCCAAAGAACTCAAATAAATCAGCAAGCTAAAAGCAAATAACCCCATTAAAAATGGGCAAATGACATGAACAGACATCTCAAAAGAAGAAGATATACAAATGGTCAACATATATGAAAAAAAAAATGCATCATCAGGGAAATGCAAATTAAAACTACAATGAGATACTACCTCATGCCAGTCAGAATGGCTATTAAAAAGAATGAAATAAGAATAGATGCTGGCAAGGATGCAGAGAAAAGGGAACACTTATACACTGTTGGTGGGAGTGTAAATTAGTACAATCTCTATGGAAATCAGTATAGAGATTTCTCAAAGAACTAAAAGTAGATCTATCATTTTATCCAGGAATCCCACCAACTAGGTATCTACCCAAATTATTTTTTTTTGTTCTACAAATGAGGAAACTGAGGCACAAAGTAACTTTACAAAGGTCATTCAGGTAGAAAGTGGCAAATTCAAATAGAGGCATTCTGGCTTATATTTTCTGTCTGAAATCTGTAGGTGCCACAAGAGCAGAGTCTATGCTACATGTTTACTACTGTTCACTACTGTATCTCTAGCCACTGGGAAAGTGCCTGCCATATAACGAATTCTCCAGAAGAGTGTTGAATGAATGAATGAGTGAAACAGTTGTATAAATCCATACAACGGACATTTTATGGCAGCCAAAACCAAGGCAGATATATGTGTGCTGACTTAATAATATCCAGTATGCATTATTAAGCAAAAAAAGCTAGTTACAAAGAGTATGACATCAACTTTGTGGGAAAAATAAATATTAAGATATGTATAAAAAAATAACGAGGAGGTTGGTTTACAAAGTATTAACAAGATTATCTCTTGAAGGATATTCACTTCTATACTGTATATTCCTGTAATTTTTTTTACTACCTCTTTATTAATAGCATGTACTAATTTTTCAAGCAGAAGAAGTCTAAAAAGAATTATTACAGCCTAGGTAACATAGAAAGACCTCGTCCTCAGATATACACAAAAAAATTAGCTGGATGTGGTGGTGTATACCTGTAGTCCCAGCCACTCAGGAGGCCAAGGTAGAAGGATCGCCTGAACCCAGCAGTTCGAGACTGCTGTGAACCACGTGATTGTACCACTGCACTCCAACCTGAGCAACAGAGTGAGACCTCAACTCAAAAAAAGAATTTTTAAAGACAAAATTAAGCAACATAAGGAAATAGTTTTGTAAGATGTGATATCTCGCAGTAGCTTAAATTAGCATTCCCTACCCTTGCTGGCTCCCTGAGAAAAGGGCCACTGGGTTTGCTTCATCTCCTACCTGGGCTTGGCTTTGCACACAGGGCCTGGAGTTTTTGCTTGACATCAGGCAGCCACAGTAAGTTGTGTAGCTTCTTATGTGGACTAACCTTGGTGGCTAAAATATCTACAGGGAAGGAGAGTAAATAGAGAAATGACTTACTCTCTTTGCTGCTTTGCATTTCCAAGCGAAGATAGTCTTCAAATTCCTGGCGCTTACTAGGATTCAACATAAATCTGCGGTACTTGCAAAAGCTCTTGATAAAGCTGATCATTTTCAGCCAGCCTCTCTTCTGGGGAAAGAAAGAGGGACATGACATATCCAATAGCATAGTTGCTGTCTAAAGAGAGTCTACTATGTGCCAAAGAGTAGCATTTGTTACATGTGATCCTTATACTTCTGTAAGGGAATGGTTTTCAGCTCTGATTCAAAGCTGAGGAAACTCAGATCAGAGAGCTTGTATAACCTGCCCCAGACTAAGTAGCAGGTAGATGAAAGATTCTGGCTTCAACCAGGTGTATCTGAGGCCATTGTCCATGCTTCTTCTATCACAGTCTTTCAACAGGAAGATCTACGATGCTGGGATTGAGAGGGGGAAGGTGAGGGTAAATGTAGGAAGAAACAAAGGCAGAAATAAGTACAATTCACAGGAAAGGAATAATGGCTCAGACAGATTTTAAAACGTTAAAAAAAATAAGGAAATGAGAAAACCATTTCTAAGCATTTTAAAAACAAAAAACATGATCACATGTACCCGTTCGTATACCCCCCACACTCATACAAATGTATTTTATGTTTCTTCATCGGTATCTTACTAGGTATCCAGTGATCATTCTCACTTTATTTGCTCCTCAGGAAACTGATATTTAGAGCCAAAAAGACTCATTTATTAACTAGCTCAGTTGTCTCAGTCTCTGGAGAGGGAACCTCAGTGTTAGCATGGCTTTAGACAGCTAGCAGTGAAGTACAAACAGCACTGGATTTGGAATCAGAAAGTTGAGTCTAGAACCTAGCTTTTCCATAATTGTGTGATTTGGGTCCACTTAACCTGTGTCTCTTTATTTATTTATTTATTTAGTTTTTTATTTTTATTTTTTATTTTTATTTTTAGAGACAAGGTCTCACTATGTTACCCAGGCTGGTCTTGAACTCCTGGGCTCAAGTAATCCTCTTGCCTTGGCTTGCCAAAGTGCTGGGATTATGGGCGTGAGCCACCACACCTGGCTTACTTAACCTGTGTGCCAATGTCTCTATGTGCAAAATAGAAACAGCCTTCAGGGTTATGGTGGTAGTATATGTAAACCCAAATGCAGTACTTGGCATGAAGTAAGCTTTAAGTACATGCTGGTTCCCTTTGATCTTATCTAAAAGCAACCGGAAGGCCTGAAATCAAAACAAAGTGTCTGGATTTGGGGTAAGGTATTCCTTTAAATATTCTATGTGCTCATTTATGGTGCTCTGATATAGAGTTGGTTCACATATAGAGAAAATACAGAGAAAAAGGAAAGAACAACACATTTTCATTTCTGAAGTATTAGACCAAGGGGCTTAGACGTTATTTTCAGAGATCTCTTAGTTTGATCTTTGGTAGTAGAGCTGGGCTCAAATTTTTCTTATACTGACTAACTCTGAAACCTTTTGAGCAAGTGGTTATTTAAGGGGGCATGTATTATTTTCTCAAACCATAGAAGGAGATTTTCTCAAGTAATGTTCCTGTCTCCTTTTTCCTCCCCTTTTCTCTCCTGTCATGGGAGAAATAATGAGCTAGAAACATTTGAAGGAAGAAAATGGGCACACTCGATCTTCAGCCCTTTGCACTCTCTCCCTTGGATGTGCCTGTTTGCAGGACACTAGTTTCAGACTAGCCCTTCGTCGTATCCTAAGAGACTCACCCTGACAAGTGGAGCCTAGGTTGCTCCATTCTGCCCGTGATGAGATGCATAAGCAAGTCTAATTTGGATGCAGACAAGATCAACAAAACCTCGTTGCTTCACTGCCAATCCATGTCATTCAAACTAAGCTTTCAACAATTAAAAAACTCATATGTCCAACCCCTGTGCCTGCTACTTAGTTGACCCTAATCGCAGGTAGAGAAAAGAGGGACTTCCTTAAATTCCTGGAATAGTAATCTCTCTCAGCTTCAGATTCCTCCTTTGCAAAATGGGGATTTAAAATCCTGCCCTCAAAGAGCAGTTGTTTTGATAAATACACTAACTGAACATCTTTGGTAGACAGTGCCTAGAGAGTGGTTTTCCTGTCTGTAATTTCTTGTTTTCACTTTCTTCCTCGCTGACCTGGGATTCCTGCAGGTAAGTTGTCACTATCTTCGAAGGCTTCCTAGCTGGAATTTGTACTTCAGTTTCTACCTCCTGAGGGCGAGGTGGAAACAGTTCTTGGTAATCTTTAAACCTGCAGAAGAAGACCAAGAATATCAAAGAAGGTAAAAATCCTGGCACACAAAAGAGAACAGTCCAGGAAAACCTACTTCAACTGTTAGAGGAAGTCTCAGTGGGTATTGGGAAATTATGAAATACTTAAAAACAGACCTGGTGTGGTAACTCACACTTGTAATCCCAGCACTTTGGGAGGGTGAGGCAGGAAGATTGCTTGAGCCCAGGAGTTTGAGACCAGCCTGGGCAACATAGCAAGACCACTACAAAAATAAAATAAAATAAAAATTTTTTTTAAATGGGTCGGTGGCACACATGTGTAGTCTCAGAATTTGGAGGCTGAGACGGGAGGATCACTTGAGTTTACAAGTTAAGGCTACAGTAAGCTGTGACTGTACCACTGCATTCTAGCATAGGCAACAGAGTCTCTGGGAAAAATTCTAAAAATTACTCTTCTTACTATATGAATCTTTTATTAATGTCAGCCTAGTCTTCCTGCTCAACACTGTACTGCTCTTTGTTAAGACAAATGAACAGAAATATGTGTGTGTGTGCACACACATACTGGTAGGCAGGTAGGAGTGGTCAAGATAAGTGACTTCTTTTGTGGAGGGGCTCTGGCAATGAGCTGTGGAAATGGAGTATGAGACCCCTGGTTAATAGGGTTTTCAGAAGCCAAGGAGCAACTTCAGAAACAATCCTTGCCTTCACTGAATATACTCACCACTTTTCCTCCAGAGATTTCATGACATGGCCTTGGAGCGCCAGCAATGAAGTTGTGCTGATATGTTGCATGTGAGTGAGTTCTTTAATAATAGAGGCATCACACTGAAGCATTTCTTCTAAAAAACGAGAGAGAGAGAGAGAGAGAGAGAGAATAAAATCCATCATCCCTGTCTACCCTTTCTGAGGTGGCTGGTGTTTTTGTCTTAGAGTCTCATGGCCTCCTATTCTCAATCTGGCTAGAAGTTCTTCACAATTTGTTTGAAAATCCTCAATTCATATTTGGAATGTTGTGTGCAAATCTACTTGTGGGGATCAAATGCTTTCTCGGTTTAGTTCAATTCAAATTTCAACTATGTGGCCATTGCCAGGCCACTGCGGCCACTGCCTTGCTAAGCTATGGTGTGGTCATGTGCTCTTTGAGCTATGGCCAGGCCATGTTTCCTGGCTTTGGTCCCCTCTCTTACTTTGGGGAGGTGAATCTCCTCTTTTTCTCTCTCAAATTTGTATTCTAAATAAACGATATTTATAATATTTTTAAAAAACACCAAATTTCGAAGATATAGTTCAATTTAAATTTCAAAGATGAATGCTGAAGGGAAATGACATATTTAAACTGTTCATTTCTGCTGCTGGTTTGAAAATTCACTTTAGGGAGAGAGCAGAAAAGTAACGGACTAAAGTTAAATTGCTGGGTCAGATGCGGAAGCCAAGACCACACATAAGTACCGTAAGGGCAGTACAGTCCTCCAAGTGTTCAGAGACTATTGTGTTAATTAATTAGATGAAAAATAATAAAGGATAGAACTTGGATATTCCTCTTTCTCTTCTAGCTCATTCAAAGTGCTGTATTGAACTTAACAAATATTTCTTACAAATAAAGATTTGCCAATTTTGCCTCTTTTTCTATATTCATAAAACTGTATAAAGGCATGGTGGCTCACACTTATAATCCCAGTACTTTGGGAGGCCAAGGTGGAAAGATTGCTTGAGGCCAAGAGTTCAAGATCTGCCTTGGCAACATAACAAAAAAAACCCGTCTCAAAAAAATTGTTTTTTCATTAGCTGGGCATAATGGTGTGTGCCTGTGGTCCCAGCTATTCAGGAGGCTGAGTGGGGAGGATCACTTGAGCTCAGAAGTTTGAGCCATGATCGTGGCACTGCACTCCAGCCTGGGAGACAGAGTGAGACCCTACTCCTAAAAAAATAAAATAAATACAGTTATATCCTATCTTAGTTTAATGTAAACAGAAAATATACAAAAACCCTATCTGTGATAAAACAAGAAGGCTCTGTCTTCATTGCTTTGCTACAGATTTGTTTACCTCCAGGATGGGATCATGCTCACCTTTGTTTTCTTTAGAATTAAAGGTTAGTACTTTACTTGCAACTCCTGCTTTTGGCCAAGGATGAATTTGCATGGGTCATATTTACCCTCCTGCCTTAGGCAAGAAAACAAGACACAACTTATGAAACAAAGATTTTCACGTATACAATTCTTCCTGGTAAACTCTCTTCACAACCATGGGTGGTGGACATTCCACCTTTGCATACAGCTAACCCTTGCTTATGTATCTAACTCCAACCTAGTTGATTTGATGGTTCATTGACTTGAATTTGAATTCAGTTTCCTCCAGTTGGACAAGTAGTTCAGTTCTCTGTGTTTCACTTTCTTCATTAGTAAAATGACACTGTTTATCCCTATATTATAAGGATTCGATAAAATTCTATTTTTATAATTAAAAAGAGGATATATATGAAAATATCTTGTACTTGGCTTCTTCTACTACTATTATGGCCTTGGATTTATTATTGTCCTCTGCTTTCACTGTCCTTCTTGATCTTTGTCTCATTATTGCCCCATGTGGCTTCTGCTGTGCCCTGCTCTCTCTGGGGGCCCACATGAGACAGGCTATTTTCCAGACTATTCTCCTAAGACACTATAGGGAGAAAGAAACTGAATCAGGAGAAGAGGATGCATACCAGGAGGCAGTTTGCCAAGAAAGAAAGTCTTGGTTATATTTTCCATGAGTGACTCGTAAATCTTTTCATTGGTCTCTATACTGATCTTTTGTACAGCTATCAGGAACTGCAATGGGCTTTCAGCCTTCCGTTCCCTGAGGAAGTCCCTGAAGAACTCCAAGTGTTGTGTATTTAGGAGGACTTCTGTCAAGTTTCTGGAAAACAAGAAAGCATCTTTGATACAGAAAAAGGGAGCTAGAGTGTGTTTCTCTCATAAACTAAACCAAAACAGAGAAATTTCCTCAGCAGTCAGAAAGGAATGGGACCAACAGCACACCCATGACTCTTCAAAGAAGTGATAATACCCACAGAGTGCAAAGAAGAGAAAAATAGATGGGCAGGATTGGAACTAGCCAGATGTGCCTGGACCACAGCACAAACCACGCACAGCCTCTGGATGCAGCAGGGGAGGTTAGTGGGGGGAATCCAGGAATTCTGTGCTCCTGACATGGACTTGGAAGTCCCTCTGAGCCTTGTGGGGCTCCAGTCCCTCATGGGAAATAGCTGTGCTCTGACAAAACCCACTTAGATCAGTGCAGGAGAAAAAGCCCTGAATGGCTCCAGCCACCATTTCCTGGGACCTCAACCACTCTTGCAGGTTGCTTTCTAGACAGCCAGTGAGGGAACAGACCCCAAGGGCAAATTCTGCTCTGGAAGATAATTCCTGGCTGGGGCAGGCTGTGAGAACACATGAGGCTGGCTGCACTTTGACAGTCTTTTTTTCTTTCTTCACCACTCAAACTGCGTCCTCTCCCTCTTGCTCTCCCGAAGAAAAGCAAGAACGATCATCAATGGCAAATGGCAGTTGCAGCGGAGCAACACCAAGAGCTGGCTTCATGCTCAGGAGAGGACGCTATACCTCCTCCTCATGGTTTCCAGTGCTCTACATGATCAGAGAAACTTCACTAGTAATGAACTATAGAAATGATCCCTGAAAGTATAGACTTGGCTTTGACAATCTTAAAGCAGACTGCCTGAGGATAAAATGGGGGAGTTGGGTGGGACTCACTGACAACCTTTTACTTCCCAGGCAAACTCTTTTTTTTTGAGTTGGAGTCTCACTCTGTCGCCCAGACTGAAGTGCAGTGGCCGCTCCCGGCCACGGCAGCCTCGACCTGCTGGGCTCCGGCGATCCTTCCACCTCAGCCTTCCGAGTAGCCAGAATTACAGGCATGTGCTACCACGCCTGGCTGATTTTTTAAAATTTATTGTAGAGATGAGGTCTCGCTGCCCAGGCGGGTCTTGAACCTGCGGGCTCAGGCAATCCACTCACCTCAGCCTCTCAAAGGCACGGAATTACCAGGCAAACTCTTATTATGTATAGCCTCTGGACAACATGGCAAAGTTACCCAGTGGCCAGAGACTCCTTCCCAATCTCCACTGGGATAGCCAATCATGCACACAGGTGGGGAGCTTGAGTCCTTTCCCTCTACATCCTCATAGAAAGCTCAAGACAGACAGAGATCTTAAGTAATCTTCATTCCCTAGGTTGGCTGGGTACTTCTGTGGGGCAACACAGGCCACGTAGAAAGCCCACAGCCACCATTGCAGCTGGCTTTCTCCAATAAACACCATCTCCTGACCAGAAATCAACTGTCATAGCCCATTACCAATGATAAAGTATGTCAGCTTTGGGAAGGTCTGATCCCAGGCCCCGCCTAACACCACTATCCAAGCCACTCTAGCCACTGAGGATACCTTGAGTCTGTTCAGGTCCCATCTCAACCCAGCCACAGTTGGTAGTTGAGAAACTCATCACACCAAGGTTATATATAACCTTGGAAACCTACCGTGCCTGCATCAGCCCCCAACCAACCCCAAATAAGAAGAAATAGTCTACCCAAATAAGAAGGAATAAGACAAATAATTCTGACATTATGAAAAGACAGAGTTCAACAACCTCAAATGATCACACTAATTCTTCAGCAATTGACCCTAACCAAAATGAAATCTTTGAAATTCCAGACATAATTCAAAAGGTTGATTACAAAATTGTTCAATGAGATACAGGAGAAAGTTGAAAATCAACATAAAGAAATCTTAAGAAACTATTCAGGACATGAATGAAAAATTCTCCAAAGAAACAGATACCTTAAAAAAAAAAAGCTGAAATTTTGGAAATTGAAAAATCATTTATGGAAGTACAAAATATCATGGAAAGTTTTAACAATATTCTAGAACAAGTAGAAGAAAGGATCTCAGAGCTTGAAGACAAAGCTTTTGAAGTAACCCAATCAGTCAACAATATAGAAAAAAAGAATCAAGAGAATGGAACAAAGTCTCCAAGAAATGTGATTATGTAAAATGTCCAAACCTAAAAATCATAGATATTCCTGAGGAAGAAGAGAAAATAACAGATTTGGAAAACCTATTTGAGGGAATAATTGAGGAAAACTTCTCCAGCCTGCACCTGCACTCTCATGTTCATAGCAGCATAATTAATAATAGCAAAGATGTGGAGTCAACCTTAATGCCCATCAACTTCTCAGTGGATAATGTATATGTGACATATATACACTATGGAATATTATTCAGTCATCCAAAAGAATGAAATAATGTCATTTGCAGCAACTTGGATGAATTGGAGAACGTCATCATAAGTGAACTAACACAAGAACAGAAAGCCAAACACTGCATGTTCTCACTTATAAGTAGGAGCTAAACTAAGAATCTGCAAAGGTATAGAGAATGTATAATAAACATTGGAAACTCAGAAGGGGGGATGGGAAGGGGTGGTGGGAAGAAAAATCACCTATCAGGTACAATGTGCACAGGTGGCAGGTACATTCAGGACATGAATGAAAAATTCCTTGGAAATTAACCAGACTTCTTCGCTGCTATGCAATGCATCCGTATAATCAAAAATGGTTTGTATCTTCTAAAGCTATTGAAATAAAGAGAGGGGCCGGGTGTGGTGGCTCATGCCCGTAATCCCAACCTTTGGGAGGCAGAGGTGAGAAGATTTTCTGAGCCCAGGGGTTTGAGACCAGACTGGGCAACTTGGCGAGACCTCATCTCTACAATGAATCAAACAATTAGCAAGGCATGTTGGTGCACGCCTGTAGTTTCACCTACTTGGGAGGTGGAGGCAGAAGGATCCCCTGAGCCCAGCAGGTTGAAGCTGCAGTGGCAGTGAACATGCCACTGCATTCTAGCCTGGGCAACAGAGTGAGACTACAATTTGAAAAGAAAAGAAAAGAAAGAGAGAACAGGGGAAAAAGGATGATGACTCTGGATTCTGTTCCAACTAGAGAATGGGAAATGTCATCTCCCAGGTTGTAGGGCCTTTACCCATTTGTGAAGAACATGGTAGGTGAATTGGTTAAATCTGTCTATTTCCTTGGAAATTAACCTGAAGTTTTACGTGTCCTTTTCCTAAGCTTTGTCCAATCATTTGACAACACCAATGGAAGAGAAGGGGAAGTATTTTAAAGGGGATAAGTTTTTTTCGAGAAAACTTCTGTTTACATTATGATTCAGAACAACTGCTAATTGGCAGTCATTTATGTGAGGCAGAGCATGATTGATTAGCAGTTATTAGTTAATATTTCTAAATTTCCTTTGCTAACTTATTTTTTCACTGATCCTTGGATAAAGGTATCCCTAATGTTTCATCCTCAATCTTTTGTCCTTTTGCCTTATCATTTTTCCCAGGTAATTTCTGCCTCCTCTGTGGTTTCAGTTTTCATTGATATAAGGAAGTGGTTTCAAATTTCACTGATATGGTACAATTACATCTCCAGTTCCCACGAGTTCCACTTCTACACTTCAGTTGCTCATTGAACCACATCTTTAAGTCACAGTTATTATTTAAATCTCTCTACACACACTCATATCTCGACCAAGTTGTTGTTTTTCCTTTACGTATCTATTTCATTAAGTATGATGTTAGCTATAGATTTTAATAGATGCTCTCTATTGGGTTAAGATAGTTATCTTCTATTCTAATTTTATTGAGAGTTTTAAAAATTGTAAACATGTGCTGAATATTGTAAAAGGCTTTTTCTGTATCTATTGAGATAATCACGTGAGATTTCTTCATTTTATTAATATGGTGTATGATATTAATTGATTTTTAGATTCCTTGCATTCCTAGGATAAATCCCACTTGGTCACTCTGTATAATCTTTTTTTATATGTTGCTGGACTTGGTTTGCTAATATTTTGTTGAAGATTAAATCTAGAAACAAGGGGAAGTATTGGTCTGGGGTTTTCTTCTGATGTCTTCTTCTGGTTTTGAAATCAGGATAATAAGTCTGGTAGAAAGTTGTCAAGTTTTTCTTCTTCCTCTACTTCCTCAAAGAGTTAATAAAATATTGATAGTATTCATCCTTTAGAAATTTCATATAATTTTCATGAAGATGTCTGTGTCTAGGCTTTTCTATATGAGAATATTTTTAATTACTAATTCACTTTCTTTTCTTTCTGTAGATATGTTCACATTTTCTACTTCTCCACGAGTAAGCTTCAGTAAGTTGGGTATTTCTAGAAATTTATATATTGCATCTAAGTTGTATAACTTGTTTCTTGCATTTTCTTATAATCTGATCAATTTCTGTAGAGGTGGTAGTGATGTTCCCTCTTTCAATCCTGATTTTGATCATCTGTGTTATCTCACTTTTTTTATTGATCAGTAAAGCTTACCATTTATTTATCAGTTGTGTTCATTTTTACAAAAAAACCCAAGTTGTTTGCCTGGGTTTTATATATTTTTCTTTTTATTTCATTAATTTACACTCTAATAGTTATTACTAACTTTCTTTGACTTTGGTTTGAATAACATCTTCCCACCACTTTTGGTCTCCATTGTTTTTGATATGAAGTGAACTTTAATCTTGCTGTTCCCTTGAATGTGATGAGTCCTTTTCCTTTCACAGCACTCAAGATTTTTTTCTTTGCATTTGTCCTTCAATAGTTTGACTGTAATGTGTCCAGGTGTAGAACTTTATGAACTTATTCTACTTGGACTTCATCAAGTTTTTTTGTATGTCTCGATTAAAGATTTTAATCAAATTTGGGAAAGATTCAGTCACTACTATATTAAAAAAATATTTTCTGCCCCTTCCTCTCTCTTTCCTCTACTTCTGAAACTCCCATTGCTTGTATGTTGATGAGCTTGATTGTGTCCCTCAGGTCTCCGAGGCTCTGCTTATGTTTCTTCTTTTTTCTTCAGACTGCATAACTCTACTGAGCTATCTTCAAGGGCACCAAATCTTTTGTCAACTCAGACCTGCTATTGATTTTCTCTAGCAAAATTTTCATTTCAGTTATTATACTTCTGAACTCTAGATTTTTATTTGATTCTACTTTATGATTTCTGTCTCATTATTGATATTCTCTATATGATTAATCATTATCAGGCTGGATGCCATGACTCACACCTGTAATCCCAGCACTTTGGGAGGCCAAGGTGGGAGGATTGCTTGAGTCCAGAAGTTCAATAACAGTGTGGGCAGCACAGTAAGACCTCATCTCTACAAAAAATTTTGTTAAAGTGAGCCATGTATGGTGTCCCACACCTGTAGTCCCAGCTACTCAGGAGGCTGAGGCGAAAGGATTGCCTGAGCCGAGAAGGTCATGGCTGCATTGAGCTGTGATTGTGCCACTGCACTCCAGACTGGGTGACAGTGAGGCCTTGCTCAAAAAAAAAAATTATCATCATCATAGTTTCCTTTAACTTTTTTTTTTTTTGATTTGGAGTCTCACTCTGTTACCCAGACTGGAGTGCAGTGGCTGCTCCCAGCCACCGCAGCCTCAACCTGCTGGGCTCTGGCGATCCTTCCGCCTCAGTCTTCTAAGTAGCTGGAACTACAGGCATGCGCTACCATGCCCGACTAATTTTTTTTTTGATTTATTGTAGAGATGAGGTCTCACCAAGTTGCCCAGGCGGGTCTCGAACCTGCGGGCTCAGGCAATCCACTCATCTCAGTCTCCCAAAGCTCTGGGATTACAGGCTGAGCCACCAAGCCCGGCTTCCTTTAACTTTTTAACCATGATTTTCTTTTGTTTGTTGAACATGTTGCTTGGGACTCTTTAGTGAGACCAACACCTAACTTATCTCAGGGAAAGTGTCTATTGATTGCCCTTTTTCTTCCTGTGTATAGACCATTGTTTGTGTGTGTGTGTGTGTGTGTGTGTCTGTGTTGTTTTTTATTTAAAGCTGACATTTTGGATAATATACAGCAGCAACTCTGGAGTCTGAACCTACACCCAACCCCTTATCCACCAAAGACTGTTGCTGTTAATGATTTTGTTTGTTCTATTTTGTTTTTCATTAAGTGACTTACATGGGCTAATTCTGTATAGTATGTCTCCCTGTAGCGTGTGGTCACCAAAGCGTCTGCTTAGTTTTTATTTTCTTTTTAAAATTATATATATTTATATATTTAAATTATAGAGATGAGGTCTCTCTATGCTGCCCAGGCTGGTCTTAAACTCCTGTGCTCAAGTGATCCTCTCTCCTTGGCCTCCCAAAGTGCTGGAATTACAGGCATGAGCCATCATGCCCTGCCAGATTTTTCTTTTTTAAAATTATTTTTCTTTCTTATCCTAGCTTTCAGGGCCTCACGGTCAGCCAACTATAAGTAGATCACTGGGTCCCTCTATGGTCTCTGTTGAGCATTTGCACAGCCTTATCAAATTCCCCTGGGAATGTCTTATTCTTGAGCTCTCCCTTTTATACTTTTGGCTGTTTAGTGCTTGCCCAACTAGTATCACTGCCTTAAGTGGCTGTGATGGTGGCCTTCCTGATTGTTTGCCAGAAGGATTGATATTGTCTTTGATAACTCCTGGTTATGGACTTTTCTGTAGAGCTTAAAACATGTCTGCTTCCCCTGCTGGCAACACGAACGCCAGTGCTCATGGCTGTCGTGCTTGTGGGTGGTGTGAGCAATTCCAAGTTTACATACCACAGACACCATTGTTCTTACTGAGGTTTGGCAGTTGAGTTGAATAAACACTTTTCAATTTGTTATAATATGACTTCAGTTAATTTATAGAGTTCTGACATTCTTTTTGACAGGTTTTCTCAGTTTTATTATTGCTTTTATAAAGAGACCACTTGCAAGGTTCTTACCCTACTATTCCAGAAGTCTGATTCTTCCTTTTCAGTGTTTTTTTACATCTGTATCTTTCCTTTCATTTTCACTTCCTCTGTTTACCTTAGATGTTTAATATCATTTGCCTGAACAACTACAACAACCCTCTGATTATTATTTCAGTCTCTGGGTCTCTGATTCTTTATGCCCATATTGCTATTTCTGACAGGGTAATAATTTTAATATCCATATAACAGGTATTTCTGCCACCCACTGCTTCAATAAAATCCAAAGAAACCTCATTGCCACTTAATGCAAATTCTTTGATAATCTTTTCAAGATTTTTTTCAATCATTTGATCTCATTTGATCTCAATCTGGGTTTTAAACTTTGTTTTACATTTTTTCACCTAATGCATTCTGCTTCAACACCACTGGACTATTTTCAAGTCTTCGAATGCTGCCTTTATATTCCTAAGTTTATGTCTTTGTGTCATTTCTTCAGCTTGTGGTTATGAAGAAATAATCCAATTTCTTTGCAAGTGAATTCCTACATGCAGTTCAGGGCCTCTTCTGGTATTCTAACTTTTCCTGATCTTCACTCAAAATTTCTTTCTCCTTCCATTATATTCCCATAGTGACTAGCCAATATTTTATTATAATGTTTTAAGGTCAGCTTTGTGTTTTATTTAGTTACATATTAGATTAAGGGCAAGGACTGTGTCTTATTTTTGTATCATCAGCACTCACAGAGTATCTGGGACATAGTATGTGTGTGATCAATAACTGTTAATTACATTAAATACAAGGTAGGAACAAGGTTTAAGAGAATTGAAACTATAGTATCTTTGGGCCAATTCTGTTGTGGTCTTAACTGAAGTCATGAAGCTAGACTATATGACCCTGCATGAGTCCTCTAGAACTTCATAATCTTATATGTGATTTAGAAAAGACCTCAGTGATATTTATGCTCAACTAACTTGGAAAATAGGTATTTTGATAGACATAGTAGAGAGCAATGACTAGTACAAATAGAAACAGCAAAAATAAATAAATAATTGGAACTCAGGGAATAATTTAATTTACTTGAAGGGGGGAATCTATCTAGAGTATTTAGAAGAGACAGAAGACTCATCACCCTCAATGTGTGTTATCTGTAACTGAAAACATCCTCGTGTGGGGGTTTCTGTGCAAAATATTCTACCAGAGATGCTGACTACCAAATTTGTATGTACTTCCACATATTCATCCTCTAGAAAGAGACCTTTCATATAGCTAGCCCTTGATAGATAATAACCGAATAAAAATGAATAAATGAGTATATGAGTGGCAAGGCCTACGAAACATTATAATCAGGTCAAGAAGATGAGAAACATACCTAAAGAATAAAGAGCATTAAAAAAGTAGTACATGGTAAGTTTTTGGTAGTGTTCTTTAGAGATTTAAGGTTTCAAAGGAGGAGGAGGTTATAGTCAACATAACAATTGGAGAACTTTTGATGTATAGGTGGCACTTATGCTAAGGTACATGGAAATAAAGACGGATGGGCCCTCTTTAAAAAAAAAAAAAAGGCACAGAGACTTTACTTTGCTGTGGGACCTTACCAGAGTCTGACTCTTGGGTTGACTATAAGAGGGAAAAAGCATGAAGTAAGGAATCGGTTAGGAAGTGATTACTAATCCTTTTTGTGTGCTGTCTGTCACTGAAGGTGTTACCAAACTATGCAAAAATTTCCTGTGAGGGTCTTTTCTATTTAACAAACATTTAAAAACATTAACTATAATGTTTCTGGATTAGTACATAATCCAGAAAATACAAATAGGCGAGGAGACATGTACAAAGATGTTTACTGTGGTACCACTTATAGTAATAAAAAATTAAAGACAGTATAAATAATTTATAAAAAGAGTATGGTTAAATAAATTATGCTACATCCATAATATAGAAGGAGGTAGATCTATACATATTGACAGGAATAGACGTCCATAATAGCTTAAGTATAAAAAATTATTATATATATTACATGGTGCCAATTTTAGAAAATAATGATTAAAATACAAGCTATGCCTGTGAAATATGTATTATATATAGAAAAAGGTCTAAAAGCCTACACATAGAAAGATAAGTTCAGCATTCGATATATTGACTTTTTTAAAAAAACATATGGCTAGAGATGTTGTTGCAGTCAGATTCTATACCTTACCTGGGTCTCACTGAGGGCTTTCTTATACCAGTTCTTTTGAAGAAGGACAATTTCCTGGGTGTGGGTACAGCTGCCCTTGGTTCTTTGATGATTTCCACTGTAAAATCTTTAAAAAAATCACAGAGATTACCATGTTATAAGGAGTATAAAGGGACAAAGTAACAGACATTTATTGGACATTAAGTTCACATGGAAAAACCACTGTCCCAATTGCCACCATCTCAGGTTATTATTGCTGAGAACAGACTTAGAGATGACTGATACCCTTGACATGTTGACCATTAGACCTGGAGCCCACCTTTCTCAGAGAGACTGCTGAAACCAAGTCTGTTACACCTCTCCTCATTACATTCATTAACACCCAATATCATCCCTATTCCACCCAGCCATGTTTATTAGACCATACTCTACATGACATTCTGCCTTCCTTGTCATTGGTGAGAGTGCCTGAAGAGAGAAATGGCTCTAAAGACCAGTAGAGACAAGGGGATAGGCAGACACTGCTTTTAGGAAAACTTTTCAAATGGTATTCTAGCACACATTTTGTCTGATTCCCTACTGCCATTTAGAAACCATTATTCAAAAAAATATTTTTAAACATCATTATTGAAGAATAATAGATTTCATGCATCTCTATTATAAGAGCCCTTTCAGGTTAATTTTGTAGAAGAAAACATAGGCAATGAACACATCAAGGACAGGAATGTGTATTAGTTATCTCACTCTCGGAATTAGAACATGACCTAGTTACAATGTGGTCCATGTTTTAAAATGTTTATTAAGGCTTCTGGGCAAGATAGCAATGGAACAGGTCAGACTGTGAAAGTCTCTGCAAAAGTCAGTGTCCATAAAGACTCTCTGCATAAGTGGGTGTGTGCCGGTGGGTGAACGAAAGTCCATCTGAGGGGAGATGGGTTCATGCACCCAGGGCTTTCCTCCGGAGGTGACTGCAACCCACCACCACCCTGAGATTGGAGACCTGGATGTGCAGGATCATCTGCTGCTCTTGGGGCTCTTAAGAGGAGGCAGCAGAGAACAGTTGCCCCTCACCACCTGGCACCTGGCCCACGCCATCACCGGCAGCAGTAAACAGGGCACAAGCAGGAGGAACTGAGGAGAGGGTAAGTCGTGGAAATCTGGAATAAAGCTACAACACTGTCAAGAGACCTGTGACAGGACACCAAGGGGCGCCATCTTCTCAGTCCTGGGACCAGGCAGAGACTTGCATTGCCCCATCCAGCTCCACCCAGCCTCCATCTTGGGACCCAGAGGCTATTCCCTCATCGGACTCAGAGACAGACACCTCTCCTCCACACTGGAACAAGCTCAGACTTGTCAGATCTGAGTGGGAGACTTGACAGCAGCAGCAGCAAGTAGGGTGAGTTGGATCTGATCCATCCTCCTCCTACAGTAGTCCATGGGGCATCTGACCCATGCTGGAAGCAACCCTATCAGCCTGCCCTGAGAGCGGAGCCTGCCCTGAGAACAGAGGGGAGGGACTGGAGACCAGAGCAAAAAGGAGCCTGGAGTTACAGAAATGGCCACAGAGTTCTTCTTCTTCTCCTTCTTCTCCTTCTTCTCCTCCTTCTCCTCCTTCTCCTCCTCCTCCTCCTCCTCCTTCTTCTTCTTCTTCCTCTTCTTCCTCCTCTTCTTCCTCCTCCTCTTCCTCCTCTTCTTCCTCTTCTTCGTTTTTGTTTTAGTTTGGTTTTTTTCTTCTCTCTTTCTTTTTGTTTTTCTTTACGTTTCTGTACTCTCTTTGTTTCTGTTATTTTAGTGTTTTGTTTTTTGGGTTTTTTTTTTGGATTTTCTGTTTGCGTGTGGATATTTTTGAGGGAGAGTACACCAACGGGGTCGGGGGGGATATTTGTTTGCATGATTGTCTGTATGTTTTTGTCTTTTTTGTTTCTTCTGTCTTTGTTTGTTTCTCTATTTATTCATTAGTTATCTGTTTTCCCTCTTCTCTCTCTTCACCTTCCTTTCATCTCCCTCATTCCTTTTTCTGGTCTTTTCCCTTTTCCCCTTTTCTTATCTCATTTTACTTTCAGGTGGCAAACAGACACCCCCACTGCATGAACAGATTGTAAGGCAGTGGGAAGTAGGTTCCAGGGGGCCAAAACACTTATCAGTGGACACTGGGATCTGCAGATAGCTTCTGAATCACAGCTCCTACCTTAATTAAATCTCAAAACTGCAAAAAGCACAGCCCCCTATCCCCAGTCCAGCTTCAGAATTGAACAAAACCAGAGGATCTACATATGGATGAATAGAAGATTGAGCAAACAGAAGTAAAAGCTACCTCCCCATCCCTAAACAACAGAATTAAACAAGAGGTTAAAAAAAAAAAAAGATGGGGGGGGCAGAAATCTACACAAATGAAGAAAACCAAAGGAAGACTATGAGTCTCACACAGACCCCTGGGAGGTCAGCCACTGAGAATACAGACTTTGGAATGCAAACAATGAAGAGCCCCCAGAATGACTGATCTCTAACCACAAATCCAGTTATCAAGATATTAATAGACAGAAGAAATAGAAATGAAGAGAGACAAGAGGAAATAAAGAAGGAGTTGAGATAACAGCAATAAAGAATACAGTGAATGAATAAATAAACTGATAAGCATGGAAAGCAGAATTAACCAAGCAGAAGAAAGAATCTCAGAGCTTGAGGACCAAAATATGGAACTAAAATGTTTATTAAATAGTACATACTCCCATAGGAAATTTTGTGTAGCTTAGTCATACTTTCAGTGACAGAACGCATTCAAAAAGGAATGAAAACAACATAAGTATATGTGTATCTAAATAAATGCAATTAAATAAGTTTAAAAAAACATAAAATATAGAACACTATATATGAAATAAAAAATAAAAACCAAACCAAAGCAAAAACTCTCCCAATACAAAACACCTAGAAATACTGGATAAAAAAATAACACACTTTCAAAGTGATAAGTAAACCTGTAAAACATTCAGACAAAACAAAATAAAAACATAGAAATTAGAAACAAAGAGGATGCTAAAAATCAGAAAGGCAAATTTATAATAATAACATTTTATAGAGGCATTTACAACATTAAAGTGACAACGGGACACAAGACAAAGCCTTTAGGAAACGGGTAAAACTTTGGTCACTGCTTTTAGTCTCAAGACATTGACAATTATGTGAATTGTTACTGAGAAATTTAGCAGGGCTTTTGGCAGATTCTCAGGGCAGAAGGGGCAAAAATTGCAACACAGCAAAGGAGAAGAGGCCCAGATAAACATTTCAGTCTTTCAATTGGAACTTCAAAGAATAAGGAAAACCAGAAATTGCTCATCATCAACGGGAATGAAAAGTAGCTTTAAACCAACTCAGTCCTTGAATTGATTAAGGTTGTCTGGATTGCAACTAGTTTAGTGTATGTCAGAAGTAAAATAAAATCCTCTCTAGAGGAAAGTAACTTTACCCAGAGCCTCAATTTATCTCTACAAATTTTCACCAACAATGTTCACAAATCAAGCAAAAATAGCAAGGTGTTTAAAAAAGACTTGACCAAAAACCAAGAGGAAAAAAAAATCTGACATTTAAAATAAGCACAGGATGGCTGGGTGTGGTGGCTCACGCCTATAGTCCTAGCACTTTGGAAGGCCGAGGTGAGGGGATTGCCTGAGCCCACAGGTTCGAGACCAGCCTGGGTCACTTAGTGAGACCTCATCTCTACAATAAATAAAAAAATTAGCTGGGTGTGGTGGCGCGTGCCTGTAGTTCCAGTTACTTGGAAGACTGAGGCAGAAGGATCACCTGAGCCCAGCAGGTCGGAGCTATGGTGGCTGAGAGTGAGACGCTTGAGTGACAGAGTGAGACTCCTCAAAAAAAAAAAAGGCACAGGAAATCAAATATAAACTTTATAATGACTATTATTATTATAATTCAAGTAATTACAAGACAAAAGGGGAAATATCAAAATAGACTGAATATTATAAAAAGAAAAAAATGGAAATTCTAGATATAAAAAGCCTAATAACTGAAAGTTGAAAATTAAGAACTGTTCTACAAATCGACCTTCCATATGACCCCACAATCCCCCTACTGGGAATATACCTGGACGAACTCAAGTCACTCTATAAAAAAGATACCTGCACACGTATGTTTATTGCAGCATTGTTCACAATAGCAAGAACCTGGAACCAACTGTGCTGCCCATCAGAAGAGAACTGGATAAAAAAAGTGTGGGACCTATACACAATGGAATATCACGCAGCCATAAAGAACAAAATCATGAACTTCGCAGCAACCTGGATGGAATTAGAGTTTATAATACTGAGTGATCTCTCACAGAAACAAAAAGCTGAATATCACAAGTTCTCACTCATAAGTGGACCTTGAACAACTACTGTAATACTATAAGAAAAGGATTGGCAGTAGCGGGAAACTGTGGGAGGGGGAGGTGGGATTGACAGTAATCGATATCTGCCTGGGGTAGGGGGGCAAACCTCATCAACGAGGGTAACTGCACAATGAATATTTGTATACCTCACCCTGAATTGTACCCCACAATTTTAAAATAAAAATTAAAAGAGAAAAAAAAAGAAAATTAAGAATTAATAGATGAGTTCAATGAAAAATTATATACACGGCTAAAAGAAAATATTATTGAACTAGGAATTAAATGAAAAAGACATATCCAGACTGAAACACATGGAGGAGAAACAAAAAGATGAAAAATGCAAAAAAAAAGTATATAGCATATAGTTAAAATGTCACAAATATATGTAATAAAATGATCAGAATAAGAAAAGAGATAGAACGGAGCAGGAAAAATACTTGAAGAGATAACTAAAAGCGTTCTAAAACTGACAAAGGACATCAAGTCAAAAAAGTTCTAAAACTATAAGCAGCATGAAAACTTAGGTATAGTAAAATTAGATAAAAACAAAGATAAAGAGAAATTATAGAGAAAAAAAAGAGAAATACTTCCTTCTACTATACAGTGTCAATGCAAACTGGCATTTGACTCCTCATAGTGAACTAAGAAAGCCAAGAGACAGGGGGTAACATCTTCAAAGTGCTGAAAGAAAGCAACTCCAACAAAAATTCTACACATTCAGTAACTATGTTCTTCAAAAGTAAAAGCAAAATACAGACATTTTTCAGATGTACACTAAAGGAACTATTAAAGGGATTTCTTTAGGCCTAGAGAAAATAATTCTGGTTGGCATTTTGAGAGAATAAGAATCAATGGAAAAAAGAAAAAATTTAATTATGTGAGTAAACCTAAATGAATATTGACTTATAAAACAATAATACCTATGCAGTACTAATTAGTATGAGAAGTACTAATTTACATTAAGCTTTAATATGTCAAGGGCACACTTGGAAATCTATATAGTAACCACTAAAAGAAGAAGAAAACATATAGAACTAACACATAAACAGAGGAAAAATATAGAGTTATTGACCTTAACTCCCCAACACTTTAATCTAAAAGAAAACTAAAAGGAGAGAAAAAGAAATATAGAATAGCAAGGTGATCTCTCACAGAAACAAAAAGCTGAGTATCACAAGTTCTCACTCATAAGTGGACCTTGAACAACTACAGTAATACTATAAAAAAAGAATTGACAGTAGCAGGAAACTGCGGATGGGGGGAGGGAGGAGAGGTGGGATTGACAGTAGAAAATAGAAAATAATAAGGGTTCCAAAATGGCAGAACAGAAGCAACCTGGGATTAACTCCCTCACCATAGAAAATCAAAGACAGATATACAGCACTGATATTATTGCCAGAAATATCCCAAAACTCAAATATGAAATTGAGGCAGTTCCCAGGGTCACAGAGAAGTGAAAAAAGCTGTGCAGGTGGCAAGAGAATTAGACTTCCACAACTGTGACAGGCCTCCTCCTATTCTGTTCAGCACCAACTATGTGAAAAATTTCCCCTCAACTCACAGTTTCTACTTTGGATAAAGTGAAATTAAGATGGACAACCAGCTTCCCCACCATCTCTGGTTCCTGGGTGGAACCCTACCTTAACACATGGAAAACACTGAGAGTACCTGAAGAGAGAAATGTCCCTGAGGACAGGCAGAGACAAGGGGATAGTCAGCTAGTCTGGGCAGCATTTCAATATGCAATATAGATATAAATGTGTCTCTGTGTGTACACAGACACAAACATTCATGTTCTCTATCTCTGTCCATTGAAAAGACTTGATTGCAGTGATACCCTAGTATCTAACCTCATTCCTGGATCTTGGATTCTGAGTACAATTCTCTAAGAAAAGGAACCAGGATCTTTTGTGAAATAGCTGATTCAAGGGCTAAAGCAAGAGAAGTACAAGATGAGCCTGGGAGACACATCTCATATAAGAAAGCAAGAACATGCCCAAGATACATGTTAAAAGGAGACAGAAGCCAGCTTGAAGGGGGTTCCACTGACCAAACTGGGGACAGTTTGAGCATCAAAATAAATAATGGTAGTAATGAATTATAGCCCATTGAATAAAACAAGGAAAACAATGAGTTCATACTCATTGTAAAGACACAAATGAGTACGTTGAAAATATGATGAAGAATGAGATGTTTACAAAATTTTAAAGTATACTCTTCCCCATGGTACCTATTAATTATAAAGGGGAAAATATTAAATGCATGGTGTACCCCATTACCCAAGCGATCAAAGGGAATATCATCAGTAATGGAACAAAGTAACATTGTGTACCACTTATTGCAAAGAAAAGAACTACAGGTAGATTGTTTCTGCCTGCTCTTCCCTCTTGAGAGTGTACTATTCTTTGCTTAATAAAGCTACTTGCTTCTTTTGCACACAAAAAAAGAAAAAGAAAAAGAACTGCAAGGATATTTCTTTATAAGCTAAATGTATAACCTGAATCTAATGATTAGAAAACATCAGATAAACACAAATTGAGGGATGTCTGTAAAAATAGGCTTGCAATCTTCATAAGAGCTAAGGATATAAAAGTCAAAGAAAATCTGAGGAACTCTTCCAATTGAGGGATAGGATGGTGACATTTGGTAAAACTTGAATTTTGTCTAAAGATTAAATGGTAGTAATACATCAGTGTTAATTTCCTGATTCTGATCACTGTATGGTAGCTTTGTGGGAGAATGTCCTTGTTTGTGGAAAGTATACACTAAAGTATTTGAGCTCCCTCTGGCAGCTGCTTCAGCCAAAGGAAACTGTTTGAACCAAGGCTATATCCTCCCCAGGGGCATTTATATCCCATGTGGGTCAATGTGGAGTAAAAAAATCCAAATTCCTTGCCTCACTGAGGGTCAACTCTGAAGGGCCACCTAGTTCTAGAGTTTCCTGTGATATCTTCTGAGACCTGTTGTGACACCTTACTTCCTCCCTTATAGGTACTGTTCCTAATAACATTCCCTACCAAACTTGACAAAAGATGAATCCACATTATTTAAAAACCCAGAGTGATAACTAAATTTTTTAAAAAGTAGAAATGAACAGTCTTCATCATCATCATCTTCATTTATATTTCATTTCCATCAAAGCATGATTCCTCTTTTGGCTTATGCGCCTTGAGTTAAGAGAATTTCTTTTAAATTTGAAAAAAACCTAAGTGCATCAAATCTATCACCGAATTTAAACACTTGCCTGTCTGAGGTGCTTTCTTACAATATATTTTGTAGTCATCACTGATCTTCTCTACGGCCATCTTTGGATTCTTATAGCAGAGTTCCTCGAAGGACATTTTGTTTATGTCTGCGAAGTAAGGAAAAGAGAAAAAGAGTCTAGTTGTCCACTCTAGATTCAAAGGTTTATATATTTTTGTTGAAGGTATTGCCTTTAAAATGTTCTTTAAATAAGCCAATAGTGTTTCAATTGAATATTTACATAAAGAATACAAGTTACTTAAGTCAAATTATGAGCAAGGACATATAACTTCCTCTCTCCTCCAGTATGGGAGAATTCTGCCTTTCTAAGGGAAAATGGACTCATAGAGATTTTCTACCTGAGAGATGTGACTTGAAAGACTTACTAATTGTTAATTCATACATATGAACGTTGACCCCATTCAGAGCAACCATGTGTTGAGGGGAGGAGTAGCAAAAGCATTTCAAGCATTCTGCTATTCCTTCAAAGAATTTTATGTACCTAAAAATAATAATTTCATGGCAAATAACATGCTATGCTATATTTTCTCTTTCTTAGCTCTGACTTTGGGAATTGCTTTCAGAATTAACAGCTCCTATATCTGAATGCCACTGATAGTTGCAAATGATTGTCCTTTGGAGTGGATTGTTTTTTCTAGAAACAGCCATATGTCATTTTTAATTATGTGTGATTAATTGAGAGGAAATACCTTTTTGTGGCCAAAATATGGTGGGACAATTAGGCTGAGATAGTAAGAGAAGTTTTAATGATGCTCTGGGCAGTAGCAACACCTTTCCTTCTACAAGGTGAAATATTCATTTGTGTTCTGAGTTTGGGGTCATACAGTCCATCTAATTGCACAGAGTTCTCCTGGAACGCTCCAAGCAGTCCAGTTCGTTCTGAAGCTACACTGCTGCACCTAGAAGGAATGCTGGAGGGTGGACCCCTGGATGTCAGTTGTCCTTATGTCAGCTGTCGTCATCGTCATCGTCATCATCATCATCGTCGTCGTCGTCATATATCAGTCAGGGGAACCTGGCCATATGTGGCAAGAGTAGTGGAAGGTATCTATAATAAATCCAGGTTTCCAGTCTTGTATCAATTTCTCCCTTGCTGAGAAACTTTGGGCAAGTCTTTTCACCTTTCTGGAGCCCAGTTTTCCCTACATGAAAGACAAGAACATTCTAGCTCTGAGAGTTTCTGATACAGCTTGAGCGGAGACATCAGCCTACCTGAGGGCTTGGCAAAATGCAAAGAAGTCCTTATATCAGGGCTTCTTATATCAGGCAAGGCTTATGCTCCAAAAACAACAGTGATAGAAAGAGTAAGGATGTGTATTGTGGAGAAAGACAAGGACTCTCCATGGAGGATGGTCCACACTCTTCCTGCCTACCCTGGCACTCTATAGCCACCAAAGTCATGCCCATTGCCTTGCATGTGTGATGAAATTTACCAAATATCTTTTCTTCTACTTTTGTTTTGATTCCTGGGAGAGATTCTAAGATCCTCAGGTTTTAAAGAAAGGGTGGAACTTCTAAGGTAAACAAGAGGGCCTGTTCATGCTAGATTTACATAACTCATGCCCAAGCATAGTTCTGAGGGGCAAGCTTTCAGGGCATCTTGCTTTGTATATAGAGTGCACATTAAAGTTTTAAAAAATATTTGGATTTTACATTTTCCCAACAGTCCAACAGGTATCATTTATTTAGTACCTATTTGTCATGTAAATATATTACCTCTAATCCTCTCAACAACACTGTAAAGTAGAGGTCATTATCCCCACTCTATGTATGAAGAAATGAAGTCCAGAGAGATGGAGTAATTTTCCTGAGCTCACAGAGCAAATGAATAGCACAAACTGAATTTTCAAAGCTTTTGCTTACTCCTACTCTATCTATTTTTCAAAGTATAGGTCATGACTCATTAACATGCCAAAAAAATAAGTTGAGTCACTGTCAGATTTTATAAAATAGAATAGAGGCCAGAGTTTATCATCTTTCATAATAGGGTAGATATTGCTTTGTGAATTTTTTTCCATACATATGTGCACACATATACCCAGGCATATGTTTAAGAAATCATAAGGTCAAATGTATTTACTGTGGATTCCAACTGCCTTAACATAATTAAGGAAGTGTGCTCAATTTGAATGATAATGGTTAACATTTACAGTATTGAACTCTTATTATTGCCAAACATTATACTAATAGCTTTCATAGATTATCTCAGGTCACCTGCACAACAAGTCTGTTATTATTCCTACTTACAGATGAGGAAACTGGGTTTTAAAGGGAATTTAAGTACATTGCTCAAGTATACACAGTCAATAGGAGAGCAGGGATATAACACAAACTTCTCAGACAGCACAGCTTTGTGCTCCTAACTATGTCTCTCCATTGCCTGCATGTGTTGGTGTGTTATATCAGGGAAAGGAGTGGCTGTTAAAAAATACATGCACAGAAATGCCTCTGAACTTGGTTATAAAGGAGGTGTGATGAGGTGGAACATGCTTATCAGATGCATGAAATGAAGTATTCAGCAGTGTTAGCTCTTGTGGGCAAAAGTCTGGCAAACTTGAGCACTCTGGCTCCCTCGGTTCATGTAGGGACCTTTGCAGTCAGTCTGAGTTTAGATTTTGACTCTGCGACTTACAGTGTGTGAACTTGGGAAGGTCACTTCTTCTTTGTACTTCAGTTATTTAGTAGGTAACTTATAGGTTATTTTGAAGATCAAACAAGGTAATCATTGCATTGCACAGTACTGACACATAGTAAATAATCAGTAAATGTTAATTAATATTGATTAATAATTAATATTTCCTATGGGTAATTGCCTATAGGTAATAGTCAAAAAATTACGATGACTGCTCTTACCTGTTAGAAACACTGGAGACGTCAGCTCTACCTGGAGAGACCCTCCTTGTTTCAAATCCTCAGTAGCTATCTTTTGCCACTGCATGGAGTCCATTTCCTCCATGTTAGCCAAAGCCTGACTTAACTCCAGAGATTTCTGAATCCTCTTATAAAGAAAAATGTTCTCTTCTTCACTTATAGATTCTCTTTTACGCCACCTGGTACTGACGAACCTGTTCTGAGTCTCAGAGAAGAAGGTAAGAGGAAGACAGTATTTGTTGCAGGAACTTAACAAGAAGCAATTGTTTTGTAATGATTCTGTTGTTCATGCCTCCCTGTCACACAATCTTATGTAGATTGTTTTCAATTGTTAAGAATCTTTGCTGCTTTATATGCTAATTTCCACCCTCTTTTAATCAAACCCATTTTCTATAAGGGAGAAATTCTATATGAATTGTGACTTCTTCAAAGTCAGATTATACACTCAGTCTTTCTCCTTGGGAGGTTTATCTTTAGAACATCAGAGACCATATTAATCTCTGGTTGCCTCCAGGAAAAGTAAAAATTTCATTTACTTTAACACTTAAGTCTTCTTAAACAGCATCTACTCTCTCTTTTTCCCTCAATCTCATGATTCTTTCCCAACCCAAAGTCCCTCCTACTGTAAAAATGAGAAACCAGTGGTCCTCTTGATCTAGGAATTCATCATACCAAGGGCTGAGTATCTGAAAACCAAACACAGCATAAGTATTATGAAGTAGGTGGTCAGCTTGCTGCATATTTCCAGCTTGTGTTCACCTAAGAGCAGAGTGGGCTGAAGATTCTGGATTCTCTGATTTGAAGAGCTAATGGAACAGTGAACATTAGCTATGACCATCAGGAGGCATTCCTGTATCTCTCTGAATAGGGCAGTACACACAGCCTCTGTCTAAATCTTACAGAATAGTAACAAATATTTATTTAAGAAGAGAGAGTGCTAGAGAGAGCAAATGTAGTCCAAAGGCATCCTTTTTAAAGCATCCACTCTGGTAATAATGGCATTAATCCATTTATTTATGAGGGCAGTGTTCTCATAACCTAACCACCTCTTAAATCTCTCACCTCTCAACACGGTTGGTTTCTTAAGAAACAATGCTTCATAGAGCATTTCCTATTAAAATAAATAACCAGATATACATCAAAATAATAAATATAATAAAACAGCATCTAAACATCCTATAATTGCTTTTTGTTATAATATACTAGGATTTTCTTAAGAATTGAGCATATCCGTCACTCGATAAACCCTCCTGGCCCCCTCTACAGAGCAGTGTGTGATGAATAGACCAAGAATCTGTGAAATTTTTTTTCTGTAAAGGGTCAGATAGTTAATATTCTATGTTGTATGGGCTATTGGTCTCTGTTGTAATTACTTAACTGTATAGTTGTAGTACATGACAATAAACAAATGGGCACAGCTGTATTATAATACAAAAACTTTACTCATGAAAACGAAAATTTGAATTCCATATAATAACCATGTGTCATGATATGTTCTTCTTTTGATATGTTTTTTACCATAGAAAATGTACAATCATTCTTAACTCACTGAGCATGCAAATATAGGTGGTAAGCTGGATTTGGCTCCCAGACTGTAGTTTGCTAACCTCAAAATAGACTGAGCAGGAATCTGGACACTGGCTCTGCACTTGTCAGTAAACACCAGCGAGACCTTAGAACACTGTCCATCATGTGTACACTAAGGGGGGATGGAGAATGAGAGAACTTCTAGTGTCCTAGTCTATGATTCTATGGGTCTGACAAAGGATCAGAAAAGAACAAACGTTTGTGCACCTGATAATTGCCAGACACTGTGTATATGGTGTTTGTTTTTGAGGGAGCCATTATGATCCCCAATACACTGATGAGAAAGTCAAGGATTAGAAAGCAATGTCAACATGACGGCCATTAGAAGCTCCTAGCATTCCCTGCCCCCGACACACACTCAAAACAACAAGAAAAAACTACATTTTAATGAAAACAATTTTTTAAAAAAGTGCTTCAGTATATCAAAGGAGTAACAGAAACCCAGTGAGCACAGAAACTCAAGATAGCCACATAGAGAAAGAAAAAAAAATACCAGACCTCCACCATCCCATCTCCTAACCTGGATCAGCTGGGAACCAGTAAAAACTTCTCTCTGTCACAAAAAGGTAAGCAAGAAGATCCCAGCAGCCCCTATTCACATCTTGGACGCCTACAGACCTCAACACTGCAGTTCTCACAGGCACTAAGTTCAGCAGAAGCTTCCTGGAGTCCACACAGCTATACTCTTCCCAGAGAAGAAGTTGATACTGTGCCCTGCACAACTTCTGTGCTATGCCATGCTGAAACCAGAACTACTGCTGTAGCGTGTCTTGCTCCGGTGGCAAGTTGCCGTGGCACCCTTTCATCCCTGAGGGTAAATCACAGCAAACCACCTCCATCTAGTGGCCTGACATCCCAAGCCTATTTGTCAACAGCTGCTACAGTCTTCCTTCTGGGGCCAAGCTGTAGTTGAACTGTTCCACCTTCTCCTCCCCTCCCCTTCGGCCTGGACCTGAAATTGCACTCCCTCCTGGGAAAATGGTGTTTTTGCAGAATCACTCCATCTCCCTCTCTCAGCTGCAGCTGTTCTCTGCCCCTAGAGCCCCGAGATGAAAACATGTACTGCCCCCTGAGAAAACAGTGCATTGGTGGAGTTATCCCATAAACCTTCCCAGTAGCTTCTGAGTCCTGCACCTGTGAATTGGAACCAAAGTGGCACACTTTCTCCTGGGGAAAGGGTGCTTTAGAACTACTCCAGCTACCTTTTACAGTCACTGCTGCACACTGGCCCCCTGTGCTGAAGCTGAAGCAAGGCTTCCTGGGGGAACTAGTGTCTTGGCCACCCAGAGCAGTCATGTCCCTTTGTGCCAGAATGGAAGAGGTATCCTGCCTTCTGGGAAAACAGTACCTTGGCTACCCAGAAAAGCCATGTCTCCCCAGTGCCTAAGGTAAATCAGAGCCCTGCCTCCTAGGATATGGTGCCGTAGCCATCTAGAGTGGTCTTGCACCTCAGTACCTAAGCTGAAATGTTGCCCTACATCTAGGAAAACCATCTAGGCTGACCAGAACAGTCACATCCCCCAAGCCTGAGCTGAAGGGGCACATTACCTCCTGGGGAATCAGTGCCTCAGTTGATCTGAGCAGCTATGCATGCCAGGGCTGAGCTGACACAGTACTCCAGGTCCCAGAGAAACTGAGCAGTGGCTAAGCTGAGACACCCACCTTACAGGTCAAACAATTCTAGTACTTTGTTTACCTGGTGCTAGCCTAACCCCTGGAGTCTGAGTTGCTGAGACATTCTTTTCCTCAGGGAGTGGAAATCAGGAAAACAATTCACAATATGAATAAAAAAATCCAACAAAAAGATAGGTATAAAATGACCAAACAAATTCTACAGCTAAAGAATTCAATGAGTAAAATTGTAAAAGCACAATAAAGAGCTTCAACAGTAAAGTTGAACAAGCAGAAGAAATAATCTCTGAGCTTGAAGGTAGATTATTTCAATTACCCAGTGAAGGAGGGAAGAAAAGAAAAAAGAATGAAAAGGAGTGAAGAAAACCTACAAGTCTTGAATATTTGTAGTATGAGAGTTACAGGAGAAGAAATGTAAAAAGGCATAGAAAACCTATTTAATTAAATAACAGCTGAAAACTCTCCAAGTCTTGGGAAAGATATAGACATCAAGAACCAGAAAGCTCAAGTGTCTCTAAGTAGATTCATTTCAAAAAGGTCTTCCTCAGAGCACATTATAGTCAAATTGTCAAAGATCAAAGATAGAGAGAAAATTCTAAAAATAGCAAGAGAAAAACATCAAGACATAGCTAAGGAAATCCTAATCCGCATTAGACTAACAGCAGATTTCTTGCCAGAAACCTTGCAGGTTAGTAAAGAATGGAATGATATATTAAAAGTGCTGGCAGAATAAAAATTATCAGCCAAGAATACTATACCTAGTAAAGTTGCTTTTGAGAATGAGGGTGACAAAACCCTTCCAGATAAGCAAAAACAGAGAATGTGTTATCACTAGACCAACCTTACAAGAAATGCTTTAGGGAGTTCTATATTTGGATATGAAAAGATGATAATAACCATCATGAAAGCATGGAAAAGTATAAAATTCACTGGTAGAGCAGATACACACAAGAGAAAGATAAAAGAATAAAAACTTATTACTATAGGAAACCACCAAGCTACAATGATGGAAGAGAGAAAGACAGAAGCAAAGAACATACAAGCAACCAGAAAATGATAAACAAAATGACATGAGTAAGTCCTCATCTATCAATAATAACCTTGAATGCAAATATATATCCCCAACCTATAAGATAGAGACTAGATGAATGGGGAAAAAAATGATCCAACTATATGCTGTCTATAGAATCTTTATCTGTAAAAATACCTGTAGACTGAAAGAATGAAAAAGATATTCCATGCCAACATAAACCAAAAGTGAGCAAGAGTAGCTAAACACATAATAGAAAAAACAGACTTTATGTCAAAAATGGCACACAAAAAAAGAACAAAGAAGGCCATTATAAAATAATAAAAAGATCAACTCAGCAAAAGAATAAAACATTTGCCAATGTATACGCACCCAACACTGGAACACTCAGATACACAGCAAATATAAGATCTAGTCTGGGCATGGTAGTTCATGTGTAATCCCAGTATCGTAGGTGACCAAAGTGGGAGGATCACTTGAGGCCAGGAATTCAAGACCAGCCAGGGCAACATAGTAAGACCCTGTCTCTACAAACATTTTGTTTTTAAAAGTTAGCTAGGCATGATGGCATGTGTTTATAGCTCCAGGTATTCAGGAGGCTGAGATGAAAAGATCACCTGAGCCTACAAATTTGAGGCTGCTGTGAGATATGATCCTGCCACTGCATACCAGCCTGGGTGACAGAGTAAGACCCTATCTCAAAAAAGAAAAAAACCTCAAGTATTATTTGCTGTAAAGGGAATGAGAGAGATGTGCAATCTAATAAGTTAATACTTAGAAATTTAACACCCCACTCTCAGCATGGGATAGATCATCTAGACAGAAAATCTAAAAACAAAAACAACAATGAATTTAAACTGCACTTTGAACCCAATGGATCTAATAGATATTTACAGAACATTTCATTCAATAGTGGCAGGATACCATTATTGTCACCAGCACATGGAACATTCTTTAGCTTAGACCATATGTCCATACACTAAGTCACAAATCAAATCTCAACACATTTTTAAAAATTGAAATCATAACATGTATAATTTCCGACCACAATGAAATAAAATAAGGAATCAACAAGAGGAACTTTTGAAACAGGACAAGAAAATTAAATAACAGGACACTCAGGAAGATGGTGACCGGAAAAGCCAAACTGAGATGATCTCCACAAAAGATGGCTCCTGAAGGCAGTTCCATGTGCCCCTGCAACTGCCACCTACACGGCGGGGGGGTGGGGGGGTGGCTGCTATAGCCAGTCCCAAGCAGCAAACAGCCTCTGTTGCACTACAGCCTCCGCAGGGGATTACTGCTGTTTGATGAACAGCTGCTGATGCTGCAGCTCTTGGCTATGGCCCTGGGGATTCCTGGCTCCCTCCTCCATCTCAAGCTGCCAGAAGCACACCAAATGCAGCGCCAAGCTATATCGCTGTTTCCCAGTCCTGA